TCCCTCTCGTGCTCTCTGTCTCTCATTCTCTCTCTCTCAAATAAATAAATAAAATCTTTAAAAAAAAATAATTCTACCTCCTGGTGCCTCAGCTGATTTCTTCCAGGAGAAGTTTCTCATTAGCATTTCTATGGGGAGCATCTGCCACCCCATCTATCCCTATTAACTGATGGCTAGGGCAATGGGACTGACTGAGAGGGGAATTTTAATCCCCTCGTCATGACTCATCTCTTTTCTAATTGAGAATGCTAGGTTTAAAGTCACAAGTGGCTGCCCAGCAAAATCCATCCTTAACGTTAAAAGTGGTAACAGAGACATGCTTCTCAATTTTATAACATCACCTATGTAAAATGAGTGTAATAAAAATGAATCAATTTCATGATGGTGAATAATGAAAGATATCTGAGATAGCACTTAATGCAAAAATCCCAAGCCAGTGTGGATATGTTATGAATTAGATGAACTGTTGAATTGGGAAGGTTTCTCAAAATCATAGTGTCAAAGGACATTTGATATTATGTACTGACTGTATATTGTAGGAGAAAAACTAATGAGTATGTATATGTCTCTGCATGCTGACTGTATATTTTACATTATATACCAATATGTTAAGCTGATGGATTACGTGTCCTTTCTCTATTTAAGCCAACTGCTTGCATTGATGTCATGTGACAGATGTCACTTGGAAAGCCCATGAGATGAACCAGTCACCATGGTGTAAGCCACCATGATTTATGTAGAGTGGCAGAAGAAAAGGGTTTGTAAATCAAATTATCTTTGAAATGGAACCCAACCTGGCCTCTAACAAGGCAATGTAAGACTCATCTATGCCAGCCATGGGGCATACTTAGATTCAGGAGATATTTGGAATCATAGCAAGGAAAAGAATATGAGACAATAGGGAAGGAAATTCAATGTTCCAGATAAGCCTACAGTTCCCAGGCATTTTTTTTCTTTTTTCTTTTTTTCGTTTTTTTTAAGATTTTATTTATTTACTGGACAGAGAGAGACACAGCGAGAGAGGGAACACAAGCAGGGGGAGTGGGAGAGGGAGAAGCAGGCTTCCCGCCGAGCAGGGAGCCAGATGCGGGGCTCGATCCCAGGACCCTGGGATCACGACCTGAGCCAAAGGCAGTCGCTTAACGACTGAGCCACCCAGGCACCCCCATTTTTTTTTCTTTATGTGATATTTGATTAATTGATTATCTTATTTCTTCATGTCTACTTTCACCCAAAGTGCATTTCCCTATTATTGGTTAATTTTTCTTCTGAAACAAAAAACAATGTTAAATTTCTCATCAACTTTGTCATGCACTTAAATTGTCCATTAAGGAAATTGATGTCTCTTAGCAACACTCATTCTCTTAATGCTTCCAAACCCTTCAGATTACACAGCAAAATGGAACTGCTGGCCCCAAAGTCACATTCATAATTAAATTTTACAGAAGACCCAAATGAGAAAAAAAATTCTTTTGAGGTGCTCAGAGATTTTTTTTTTTTTGACAGGTTGGTGGAGTTCTGATAGTCATTAAAAATAGTCATTCTCGCCAGCTGCAACAGCAGAGCCTTCCCCCATTCAATCCCATCACTTGCAGTATGAGTATAATACTAACTGTAAAGCCTGACATGCTTACTGTACAGTGAAGGTGGCGTTTTGGGGGAAGAGGCCATATAGAACAAAGGTGCAAGCCCATAAATTCGGAGTGGGTTGTATCTGAAGGTTAGGTCATCCCCTGACTGTCTAGCCAATTTTTCACGGACAAAGCAAGTCCTACTGACTTGGAAACATAAACTGAGTAGGATCACCAAAGGAGATTTGAGAATTTGGGATCTCTCTTGATTGGCATTGACTCTCTGGAGGTGAGGAGGGGTAGTTTCCTGCATGGTGGGTGTTAAGGTTCCACCTGACACGGGGTAGTAGAATGAGAGTAGGAAGATGAGGAGGCCAGATCAGAAATCTGTGATGTTGGGCCAATCTTAGGGTTCTCTGGGAATGAAGTAGGGCCTGCCTAGGAAACAAGAAAGCCATGGCAGAATCACAAAACTACATCTTGGCTTTGTTTTTTATGCCCCTTGCTTATTTGCTTCCTTCTTTTCTTTTTGGTCCTCCCTTGGTAGTAGCATAAAGATATTGTGCAAATGCTGCTCCTGATGGCTATGAACCAACGAAAAGGATCTTGCCCGACCCAAAGCCATAAAAAAAGTAGTGCACTCCTAGGGGACCACTGTGGTCGTGATAACAATAAACCAAGAGAGAAATGCCAAGTGAGAGGTGGGAAGATGGAGTAGGAGCCAAATGTTAGCTGCCCCTTCTCACTGGGAAATGCTTTCCAGAGTTAAAACCTGGGAGAGAGATGAATTTTGTCTTAAAAAGAGAGGATATCTATCTCTGTTATGCTTCCTTCAGCATATGAGGGAGTGGTTGTTACGTTCACTGGAGAAAGACATCAGTCTGATATGAAGCTACATACAGGGTCTTGGCAAAAGACACTAACTCAGCAGTCCTCCCAACCACAGTCTCCTGCAGGAAGGAGGCAACCGGCTGTGGCATTGGTGACGGACCCCATAAGCCACATTTTGAACCCCTCTAGCTCAATTATTCATCTTGCACATCTGTTTCCCCAGAGATCCTAAAGCCCAATGTTACACATTCAGAGTCAAATGAGATCTCTTAGTTGCTTGATCTGGGTTGGAACATAAAGGGAGGATGGAGAGCTAAGCATTCAGAAATATATATTGGATGTACAAAGGGTGAGAAAGCAAGTTGGAAGGGCTGAGGCTGCAGCACAGGGAGAATTCTAGAAGGATGGAGAGAGGGAGAGGGAAGGGAAGAGGGAGGGAGGGAGAAAGATAAGGAGGGAGGGAGAAAGATAAGGAGGGAGGGAGAGAGAGAGAAAATGGATATGCGCTTTCTTGAAGCCATTCATTTACAAGGAATTTAAATGTGCTAAAGAGGGGGTTCTTGGTGGTAAAAGAATGAGCAACACAACTGGAGAACATAAAGGGAAAGGAAAAAGGAAATGCATCAATAGGGGAGAAGGCTGGAGGTATCTAGGAAGTGGAAATCAGAATAATGAGGCATCATGCACAAGATTGTAATGGCAGTAAGACATTCTCATCACCTACTATGTGCCAGACATAATTCTCCTCGGCCATCTCATTGTAATTCTCACAATATCTAGTGCAGTGCCTGACATAAAGTAGGTGCTCAAAATATGTTAAATATTAATATTTAATTGATAAATGAACGAGCAATTCTAAGAGAACGATCTATTACCAATTGCATCTTACACCTAAGAACCTTAGGCCCAGAAAGGTTAAGAACAGTGCTCAGTGTGTCACAGCTACTAAAAGGAGGAAGGAATCTGACTTCAAAGCCTGATGGCAGAAGGAGGGTGATCTAGAAGAGCCCTGCGGGGAATCAAGGAAAGGGTGTGGTGCTTGGATGTCTCCCAGGGACTGAGAGAGGGAGGGAAGAATGAAAGGCCAAGTGAACTGGGCTAGGGAGGAGGGGATTGGCCACTGGGAAAGCATTCTTCTAGGAGGACGGGGCCCCGCGGGAAAGCACCATGGCCCTGGGCCACAGCTGAGCCAGCGAGGGGCAGCGTCCAGGCTGATGCCGCTGGAGAAGTGGGTGGGGCGGAATGGCACCGCCTGTGAAGAAACTGCAAAAGGGTCTCTGTTGAGCAGGCAGGGATCTGAGGTGGGGCGGGGATGGGGGAACGTGGCCAAAATGGTAAAGGGAAAGACCTGGGCAGGCCGGAATAGAAAGTACTAACAGCCTTCACGTGAGAAAGAGCAGAAAGGAGTCAGCCCTGGAAGGGTGTCTGGGATGCGGCCGAGGAGAGGGTGTGGTCTGGAAGGGGAGGGGCTGCCTGTGAGGCCTGCGGTGCGGGGAATGAGCCCCGGGCGGCCTCCGCAAAAGGGTAAGGGTCACCTGCCCCGTCGCCTGAGCGGCGGCCCGCGTCTCACCTGTAGGAGCTGCCCGCCGCGCTCGCCACCTCCTCGCGGATTTGCCTGTTGAGGGCGTCCGCCGCTGCACGCCCCTTGCCAGCCTCGGGGCCCGCGGCCTGGACCGGGGCCTGCGCTGCGGGCAGCGGCATCTGCTCCGGCGCCTGTCCCTCGGCGCGACGCAGCATCCAGGCGGGCCCGGGCTTCTTGCGTGTGTCGCGCTCGTCCGCACCGGAGGGCTTTCCGGCTGCGGGGCCACCCGCTCCGCCAGGGGTCGCCTCCTGCTCCGCGGCCTCCGCGGCGGCCTGCGCCGGCCAGCGCTCCTGGCTCTGCGGCCCGCGCTTGGACGCCCCGAGAATCGGCCCCGAAGTCTGGGAGGACGCGGAGATCTGCACGGGCTTGGGGATCCACGGGTGGTCCCCGCGGCGCGGCAGCGGCCAGGCGCGGAAGTCCTTCTGGTACTGGGTCTCGCGCTCGAAGGGCGCGTCGGAAGGCTGGTACTCGCTGCGCGGCCGGCAGCTCGGCTCGGGCCGCTGCACCTTCCAGGCGCGGTAGTCCTGACGCATCACCGAGTCCGCGGGGCCTGCGCTGGAGGTGGAGCCGG